TGAGCATCACTTGTCTTGAGCATCACTTGTCTTGAGCCTCACTTGTCTTGAGCACCACTTGCCTTGAGCCTCACTTGTCTTGAGCACCACTTGTCTTGAGCCTCACTTGTCTTGAGCACCACTTGTCTTGAGGACTACTTGTCTTGAGCACCACTTGTCTTGAACCTCAGTCCTACATCAGTATCTCAGTTTTTTTAGTAATTCAACAGAATGCCTAACAAAATGCCTAACAAAACGAACACAGTGGAAAGCTATTTATATTTGTTCCTCTGAGCTCATGGCTTATCTTCAATCATCTCTAAGTGTTAAATATCAAGCTCAAGCAGAACAGATGCACAGTGTACGTAGAACCTGTAGTATCAGGAAGATGTATAAATGTATGCTGTGATATAGAGAGATATGGAGTGCAAGAGTAAATTTCTAGGTACAGTAAGTAGTTAAAAGGAAAGTCATGTAGATGAGCACGTCTGATGTACCAAAAAAATATACATTTTTAATGTGAACAGTGTAAGACATGGCAGGGCAGAGTGGAAGGTGTTCATGTACTGTTGCCAGTACTTGAGTAATAGAATACAGTATTATAATTAACTTAACATTTTCACGTCCCCGACATGCGCGCCCCAGTCTACCTCAATGTGCGCCGGGCGTTTCGTGTCAATGCATGGCCAGACTAAAATATGTACAGTGGTACCTCGGATTACGAGCGTTCCTGGTTACGAGTTTTTCGGGTTACGAGCAGGATTTGCTCGGAATATTTACATCGGAATAAGAGCGCTGCCTCAGAATACGAGGGTGTTCATACGTGTACGGGCTGATCTAGCGCGTGGTGGCACAGCGATCGCCCCTCAGTTTACCAGTGCCTTGCGCCCAGTGACTGTCTCACCTGAATTCTTCACTGGGATTTACAGTTTTTTGTCGTTTTTTGGCCATTTGAGCATAAAAGTTGTTATTGTATATCTCGCCATGGGTACCAAGAAAGCCAGTGATAAGGTTCAACCTAAGAAAATAATTATGAGTAGAAGCAGTAGTGGATGTCCCTTCCTCATTAAGAAAATGTGTGAAGTATGGGAAGAACTGCAAAGTTTTGTTGAAAAAACTCACCCAGATAAAGCTGTAGCAGGCCGTTGCATTGACCTTTGAAACGACAATGTGATGTCTTACAACAGACAAGTGTTGCAAAGAAGGGAAAAACAATCTTCAATTGATCGTTTCATTGTGAGAAAATCAAGCAGTGAGCCACAATCAGGACCTAGTGGTATGCAGGCAAAGCATGCCAGAGAGTGCACCCCAGAGAGGTCTTCACTGCCTGATGCTATAATGGAAGGGGACTCCCCTTCCAAACAGTAACACCTCTCCTCCTCCTCCCTCCTCACCATCTTCTATATGTCAACAGCAGTTATCAGCAAGGGTAAGTAATAACTTGAACATACTTTTGTAGTGTAGATTTTGATGAATTAAGCATAAAATTTAGCTTGAAGTGAAATTTTTGGGTAGTCAGGAACGGATTAATTCATTTCCCATTATTTCTTATGGGAAAATTAGCTTCGTTTTACGAGTTTTCGGGTTACGAGCTGTCTCCAGGAACGGATTAAACTGTTAAACCAAGGTACCCCTGTATACTATCTTTCAGTTTTCTCACTTCAATTTTCGTGTTACGTCATTCATTTTGGTATCAATGTGTTCGCATTAGAATTCCCAAAAGGGTATATGAACATAAAGTAAGAAGCCTGTGTGCCACCTGCAGTAAACCCGAAATTCGGCCAAGCGTTACCCGTGAGCGAGCACCGATCCGCACACCTGCAACACCTGCACTAAAAGGTGTTCTCTCGCGTCAGTTTTCATGTTACATCATTCATTTTGGTATCAAATTGTTTGCAATAGAATTCTCTAAAGGGATACAGTATATGCAAGGTAATAAGGTAAAAAAGCCTGGCATGCCACCTGCAGCATACCCAAAATTCGGCCATGCGATACACCTGCAGCAAACCAAGCATTCGGCCAATATATTTTTCTAAAGGAATATATGTGTGTAAGATAAAAATATATAGGGGTGCTACCCACAGCAAACAAGAAAGTCCACCGAGCGTTACATATGAGCAAGCACCTATCAGCACACCAACACTAAAATGTATATACTCTGTTCAGATTTCTATCCTCAATTTTCAGGCTATGTTGTTCATTCTGGTATCACATGGTTCGCAATCTAAAGGCACACATTTTAAAACTAGACCATAATGATCAGAAAACAAATAGCTTTTTAACAAATATTTTATTTTTCAATGTCGCGGCCGTCCTTGTCACACGTCACAGACGTCCAGTTGGGACGAAAGTGTTAATGATCTTTTTACACTTATGTGCAATTTAGCATAAAATAGAAAAACATTTTCACAGTATTTGCAGTACAGTACAATATTGTAATACATTTGTATTACAAAATAGGCATTACATAACACTTAAGAATGCATAATACACACGTGTTGATGTTAAAATAAAAGACGTTCTATATGACATCTGAGTCCACCTTTATTTTCAGTAAATGTTGGCTAATGGCTTTTGAAGAACTTGCCCATTAGTAAACCTTTGCTTGAAACTAATGATTACTGGTCCTGTGTAGTATTTCTTAATGCAGTATGAGCAAATTTAAGATTGCTACATTTAATAAGGATAAATGAAGGTAATGTACTGCATATACAACCACACGTCTCAACAGTTCCACAGTGTTAGGTATAGAGTTTACACAATAAAATACTGCTAGTTTACTTGCACTAAATTTTGCCATTTACACAGTGACTTCACAAGGACATGATGAATCTCAGAATAAATATTGAGGCCGTACATTGAAATCATATTTTTAGCCATTTTGTTAGTAGTTCATTTTGACTCAAATTGAAACTTAGCCATAACCTCTGTTTACCTTCACAACCATTTGCTGCATGATGATTTCTTTCTCACAAAGTATTTCCTTATATGTTATATGTTTATTTGCATAATAATAATAATGTAGATACTAATATAATACTGTATAGCATCTGTTTAATTCTCATATTTTTTTGTGACAGCATTTTCGTCTTGAGACTCTCAAATGTCATTGTGTTTTGTTGCTCTGAAGGTTCTTCAGTATTGTTAACTCTAAGCACTTGTGGAGGGCACATCAGCGTAATTACTGAGAGGCGTAATCAGTGACTGAATGTTAAAGTAATGTAATTACTACAAATCTTTGGATGAAAGTTGAATGTTACTTTCTTTAATTGTGGGATAACCGAGTGACTTTGAGGGCATGAACTGTGTGTCCACTATGCTCTTAGTCCGATCCTGTGTGTGTCCAATATGCTCTCGTTCCAAGCCTGTGTTCCCACTATGCCCTTGGTCCAACCCTGTGTCCCCACTGTGCTCTCTGTCCAAGCCTATGTGTTTTCTATGCCCTCAGTCTGAGCCTGTGTGTTCAGTATACTCTCGGTCCGAGCCTGTGTGTCCTCTATGCCCTCATTCCGAACCTGTGTCCTCTATGCCCTCATTCCGAACCTGTGTCCTCTATGCCCTCAGTCCGAGTCTGTGTGTTCACTATGCTCTCGATCCAAGCCTGTGTGTCCACTATGCCCTCTGTCTGAACCTATGTGTCCACTATGCCCTCAGTCCGAGCCTGTGTGTTCACTATGCTCTTGGTCCAAGCCTGTGTGTCCACTATGCCCTCAGTCCGACCCTGTGTGTCCACTATGATCTCGGTCGGTCCAAGCCTGTGTCCACTATGCTCTCGGTCAGTCCGAGCCTATGTGTCCACTATGCTCTCAGTCGGTCCGAGCCTGTGTGTCCACTATGCTCTCGGTCGGTCCGAGCCTGTGTGTCCACTATGCTCTCGGTCTGACCCTGTGTGTCCACTATGATCTTGGTCGGTCCGAGCCTGTGTGTCCACTATGCTCTCGGTCGATCCGAGCCTGTGTGTCCACTATGATCTCGGTTGGTCCGACCCTGTGTATCCACTACAGTGATGTGCTGCGGGGGGACCCTCCCCCACAGTGATGTGCAGCGGGGTGACCCTCCCCCACAGTGATCTGCAGTAGGGGACCCTCCCCCACAGTGATCTGCAGCGGGGGGACCCTCCCCCACAGTGATCTGCAGCGGGGGGACCCTCCCCCACAGTGATCTGCAGCGGGGGGACCCTCCCCCACAGTGATCTGCAGCGGGGGGACCCTCCCCCACAGTGATCTGTAGCGGGGGACCCTCCCCCACAGTGATGTGCAGCGGGGGGACCCTCCCCCACAGTGATGTGCAGCGGGGGGACCCTCCCCCACAGTGATGTGCAGCGGGGGGACCCTCCCCCACAGTGATCTGCAGCGGGGGGACCCTCCCCCACAGTGATGTGCAGCGGGGGGACCCTCCCCCACAGTGATCTGCAGTGGGGGGACCCTCCCCCCACAGTGATCTGCAGCGGGGGGACCCTCCCCCACAGTGATCTGCAGTGGGGGACCCTCCCCCACAGTGATCTGCTGGTGGGAGGCATCCTTCTCCCAGAGCGATATGCTTCATTATCCCTTTTCTTGACCTAAGGAATAAAATTCAGACCAGTGTGGCACTAGAGGCTTTATTTCTTTGACAGGTACTCGCCTAATTGTGCTTGGAGGGGGGTGTTGAGCTCTTGCTCTTTGGTCCTGCCTCTCAACTGTCAATTTACTGGTGTACAGATTTCTAAGCCTACTGGACTCTATCATATCTACATTTGAAACTGTGTATGGAGTCAGCCTCCACCACATCACTGCCTAATGCATTCCACCTGTTAACTACTGACACTGAAAAAGTTCTTTTTAACTTCCTTGTGGCTCATTTGGGTACTCATGAACAAATCCACAAGGGCCATTGACGAGGATTCGAACCTGCATCCGGGAGCATCCCAGACAGTGCCTTAATCGACCGAGCTACTCAGTTGGGTACTCAGTTTCCACCCGAGTCCCCTTGTTCGCATACCACCCGTGTTAGTTTATCCTTGTCTACCCTGTCAAATTCCTCAGAATTTTGTAGGTAGTGATCATGTCTCCCCTTACTCTTGTCTTCCATTGTCGTGTGGTGCATTTCAGCCTTTCCTCATAACCCATGCCTCTTAGTTATAGGACTAGTCTAGTGGCATACCTCTGAAAGTTTTTCAGCTTCGCCTTGTGCTTTACAAGGTACGGGCTCCATGCTGGGGCTGTATACACCAGGATTGGTCTTTACATATGTGGTATACAAGGTTCTGAATTGATTCCTTGCACAGGGTCCCGAATGCAATTCTGATGTTACCAGGCCTTTTATATGCCACAGATATTCTTATGTGGGGTTCAGGAGATAAGTTTGGTGTGTTATCAACTCCTAGATCTTTCTCTGTCCATTTCATGAAATACTTCATCTTCCATTTGGTATCCTATGTCTGGCCTGTTTCCATCGCCTAGTTTCATTACCTTATATTTACTCGAGTTGAATTTTGGTAGCCATTTGTTGGACCATTCATTGTTTGTCTAGGTTATCTTGTAGCCTATTATCTTCCTAAAAGAAAAGAAATTATTATCTTCCTAAATAAAAGAAATTAATGGTTCAGGACTGACCAAGTCACTTTCATTTCATGTGTTAACCAGGTATCACTATGCTCTCGGTCGATCCGAGCCTATGTGCCCACTATGCTCTCGGTCAATCCGAGCCTGTATGTCCACTATACTCTTGGTCGGTCCGAGCCTGTCTCTCCACTGTGCTCTCGGTCAGTCCGAGCCTGTGTGTCCACTATGCTCTCGGTCAGTCCGAGCCTGTGTGTCCACTATGCTCTCGGTCAGTCCGAGCCTGTGTGTCCACTATGCTCTCGGTCAGTCCGAGCCAGTGTGTCCACTATGCTCTCGGTTGGTCCGAACCTGGGTTTCCACTATGCTCTCGGTCAGTCCGAGCCAGTGTGTCCACTATGCTCTCGGTTGGTCCGAACCTGGGTTTCCACTATGCTCTCGGTCAGTCCGAGCCTGTATGTCCACTATACTCTTGGTCGGTCCGAGCCTGTCTCTCCACTGTGCTCTCGGTCAGTCCAAGCCTGTGTGTCCACTATGCTCTCGGTCAGTCCAAGCCTGTGTGTCTACTATGCTCTTGGTCGGTCCGAGCCAGTGTGTCCACTATGCTCTCGGTTGGACCGAACCTGGGTTTCCACTATGCTCTCGGTCAGTCCGAGCCAGTGCGTCCACTATGCTCTCAGTCGGTCCGAGCCTGTGTGTCCACTATGCTCTTGGTCCGAGCCTGTGTCTCCACTGTGCTCTCGGTCGGTCCGAGCCTGTTGGTCCACTATGCTCTCGGTTGGTCTGAGCTTGTGTGTCCACTATGCTCTTAGTCCAAGCCTGTGTGTCCACTATGCTCTCGGTCGGTCCGAGCCTGTGTGTCCACTATGCTCGCGGTCGGTCCGAGCCTGTGTGTCCACTATGCTCTCGGTCGGTCCGAACCTGTGTGTCCACTATGCTCTCGGTCGGTCCGAGCCTGTGTGTCCACTATGCTCTCGGTCGGTCCGAGCCTGTGTGTCCACTATGCTCTCGGTCGGTCCGAGCCTGTGTGTCCACTATGCTCTCGGTCGGTCCGAACCTGTGTGTCCACTATGCTCTCGGTCGGTCCGAGCCTGTGTGTCCACTATGCTCTCGGTCGGTCCGAGCCTGTGTGTCCACTATGCTCTCGGTCGGTCCGAGCCTGTGTGTCCACTATGCTCTCGGTCGGTCCGAACCTGTGTGTCCACTATGCTCTCGGTCGGTCTGAGCCTGTGTGTCCACTATGCTCTCGGTCGGTCTGAGCCTGTGTGTCCACTATGCTCTCGGTCCAAGCCTGTGTGCACAGAGCATCGTTACTGTATTTGATTTCTATTATAATATGAGACCAGATTGTACAAACCAGATATATTTGGTGTTGTGTTGCTAATGCAGGAGTTTATTAAGCAACTAGGAAATCTTGGCCTATTTCAATATTTTTCAAAACATTTTAAATTAAGATAAGATATTTATTTAGGTAAAGGTACATACATTGAAAATGAGTTACAAACATAATGTCAGATTAATAGATAGAGGTACTGTATTACATGCAATGCCGGAAGCCACTAATATGCTCAGCATTTCGGGCAAAAATTGCTTGGCTGGTCTTATAAATCTTTATAACATTGGTATTGCATTGTAAAATAAATTGGATGTACAAATAAGAAATTCTTATGTTTTTGTGTTAGATTATGGAAATGTGTAATCATGTAAATATAGCTGTGTTCCTTCACTTAAAAAGTTAGGTGAACTGTTAAATATATAAAGCTTAGCAAGTTTTGTATTTTACTGGAAACTATATTTGTTTTCTCATCATATAAAAATATATATTTCTAAAAAAGTATTTTCTTAAATTTGTTTAGAATATATTGATACAGTACATGATATTATAAAATATTTTCTGGGGGGAACCCCTACGGCTCCCCGGAGCTATCCAGGCTGATATGGATACCCTAACTATTTTGCATCAGTCAATGTGGGTGGAGTTCTAGGTCTACCGGGGACCACGAGCCAGAACCTGGCCCCCTCACAGAGGCACGAGGAGCAATGGCCCATAGAAATGCACATGTGATTTGGAGCATTCTATATCTGCCATCGACCGGGACAGGCACCCAGAAAGGTAAGCGCCACAAAACAAACCCCTATTCTGGTTAACAACAAAGAAAATTGCCAACGAGTGGACAGAACTCCCCAAAAGAAAAACAAGCAAACAAGCATGACGTCACACAAGCCGCGCCGCATGTCTGCCCAACTCCCCCCGTCCCCGGGAGGGGAAAGGGGGTGCCCCAGACCCTCGCGCCGGCGATCCACACCTCGGTTCCTTGGCTGATGGGATCGTGCACAGTCGTGTGGCTCCAGCTCTGGTCTTCTTCAGTGCTGTCATTGTTTTCAGTGCTGCTCTTCCGCATGACCAGGCTGGTCATGCGAGTTGGGAGTATTATTCTGCGCATCTCGCCCCTTTCCCCTCCTGGGGACGGGGGGAGCTGCGCAGATATGTGGCGCGGCTCATGTGACGTCATGCTTGTTTGCTCGTTATTCTTTTGGGGAGTTCTGTCCACTCATCGGCGATTTTCGTTGTTTTAACCAGAATAGGGGTTTGTTTCGTGGCGCTTACCTTTCTGGGTGCCTGTCCCGGTCGATGGCAGATATAGAATGCTCCCAATCATATGTGCATTTCTATGGGCCATTGCTCCTCGTGCCTCTGTGAGGGGGCCAGGTTCTGGCTCGTGGTCCCCGGTAGACCTAGAACTCCACCCACATTGACTGATGCAAAATAGTTAGGGTATCCATATCACCCAGGATAGCTCCGGGACTCACCCAGAAAGTGGCGTTTCATTACATTCAACGCTGTTTTTTTTTATTTATTGTTGTGTATGTAAAGTAACAATCACAAGGAATTTCAACAGACATTAGATTTATTTTACACTGTTGAAGACATAGGTACTCTATAGATATGTGTGTATTTTATAGATTTGGTTGATTAATTTCTAGAATAAGTTTATCAAATTATACTTTACTTTTTTTTATAATGGTTCTTTGATGCTATCTGAGATAAACAGGTAAAATATTAATAACACAGAATGAATGTTTTGATGCACGAGCATAAACTGAAAAACTTTTCATTGATAAATCATTTCTTTCTGTACTCAGGAATATACACACACACACACACACACACACACACACACAAGAGCTGTAGAAGAAGCTAAAGTAGTAGATAAAATTGTTGGCCTCGTGGAAGGTCTTACAAACAGAGAGAATGTGTGCGACTACAGGAGAATAGGCAGGTACGTAAAAGGGAAAGATCGACCTTTGAGGATCACCCTAAACGGTGCCAAACAGATGGAAGAAGTACTAAGGAATGCTAGAAAATTGCAAAGGGATGAGGATGGGAAAGGGTGGTCGTTAAGACGAGATCTTTCAAAAGAAGATAGAGAGAAGCTGAAACTGAACCTCGCCGAGGCAAAACATTTAAATGAGAGCAGGAATGAAGAAGAAATAAATTCTTTTTTCTACAAAGTGATAGGGGTAGGCAAACCAGTAAAGTGGTACATAAAGGCAAACCAACAAAATCATAGAGAGAGGGGGAGTGAAGAATAAGGAGAGGGGGAGTGAAGAATAAGGAGAGGGGGAACAAGTTCCTGAAGATTGCATACACCAATATAGATGGAGTGAGATCGAAGATACTGGAGTTAAGTGATGTAATACAGCTGCAGACACCAGACATTGTTGCACTCACGGAGACAAAACTTGAAGATGTAATTTTAAATGAGGTCATATTCCCAAGGGGCTACTCAATTTGGAGACGGGACAGAAAAATTAGGAAAGGCGGTGGCGTTGCTGTGCTGGTAAAAGAACACCTAAAGGTGAAGGAAATAATGACTGCCAATCCACAAGAAGTTGACATAATAGCACTAGAGATCTGCTATGAGGATGATAAACTAATGATGATAAATGCATATAGTCCACCGCCAAGCAGCACATGGTCAAAGGAGGAGCTAGATAGTAAACGTGAAGGTCTTATAACAATAATGAGAGAGATTATAGCGAGAGCGGATAACGATAGATCACGACTGTTGATAGTCGGTGACTTCAACTTGAAATCCATAGACTGGGAAGCATATGAAGCTAAAACAGAAGATTTTTGGACCTGTAAATTTGTAGACCTCATCCTGGAAACATTCTTGTATCAACATGTTAAACAAGCTACGAGGATGAGGGAAGGGGACGTTCCCTCCATGCTAGATTTGATATTTACCAGGAAGGAGGAAGAGATATTTGACATTCAGTACCTTCCTCCCTTGGGTAAAAGTGACCATGTCTTTTTGGGAATAAAGTATGCAATGCGTTATAAGCTGGAAGAAAATAAGGAGGTTGAAGCAGTTAAAAAACCAGACTTCAGGAGAGGACATTATGGTGACCTTAGAAATTTTTTTAGTGAGTATAATTGGACAGACTTGATGCTAGGCAAGGAAGTGAATGAGATGTATGGCAAGTTTTGTGAAATATATGATAAAGGCACAAAAAAATTTATTCCAAAACAGAGATGCAGAACTAGGAAACAGGATTGGTTCAATAAAAATTGCGAGAGGGCTAGAGACCGAAAGACACAAAAATGGAATCAATACAGGAAGAGGCCGAACCCCCAAACATACCAGCGATACAAAGATGCGAGAAACAACTACACGGCAGTGAGGAGAGAGGCAGAAAGAAATTTTGAAAAAGGGATTGCGGACAAATGTAAAACAGAACCAGGTCTATTCTATAAATTCATAAACAACAAATTGCAGGTAAAGGATAATATTCAGAGGTTGAAAATGGGAAATAGATTCACGGAAGATGAAAAGGAAATGTGTGAAACACTAAACGAAAAGTTCCAAAGTGTGTTTGTACAAAATGAAATCTTTAGGGAACCAGATACAATAAGAATTCCAGAGAACAACATAGAACACATAGAGGTGTCTAGAGACGAAGTGGAAAAAATGCTCAAGGAGCTCGGTAAGAACAAAGCAGCTGGCCCAGATGGCGTTTCACCATGGGTTCTGAGAGAATGTGCATCTGAGCTCAGCATTCCACTTCACCTGATCTTTCAGGCATCCCTGTGTACAGGAATCGTAGCAGACGGGTGGAAACAGACTAACATAGTTCCAATCTACAAAAGTGGCAGCAGGGAAGACCCCCTCAATTATAGACCTGTATCATTGACAAGTGTAATAGTGAAAGTATTGGAAAAACTAATCAAAACTAAATGGGTAGAACACCTAGAGAGAAATGATATAATATCAGACAGACAGTATGGTTTTCGATCTGGAAGATCCTGTGTATCGAATTTACTCAGTTTCTATGATCGAGCCACAGAGATATTACAGGAAAGAGATGGTTGGGTTGACTGCATCTATCTGGACCTAAAAAAGGCTTTCGACAGAGTTCCACATAAGAGGTTGTTCTGGAAACTGGAAAATATTGGAGGGGTGACAGGTAAGCTTCTATCATGGATGAAAAATTTTCTGACTGATAGAAAAATGAGGGCAGTAATCAGAGGCAATGTATCGGAATGGAGAAATGTCACAAGTGGAGTACCACAGGGTTCAGTTCTTGCACCAGTGATGTTTATTGTGTACATAAATGATCTACCAGTTGGTATACAGAATTATATGAACATGTTTGCTGATGATGCTAAGATAATAGGAAGGATAAGAAATTTAGATGACTGCATCCCTTCAAGAAGATTGAAGATGACTGCATCCCTTCAAGAAGACCTGGACAAAATAAGTATATGGAGCACCACTTGGCAAATGGAATTTAATGTTAATAAATGTCATGTTATGGAATGTGGAATAGGAGAACATAGACCCCACACAACCTATATATTATGTGAGAAATCTTTAAAGAATTCTGATAAAGAAAGAGATCTAGGAGTGGTTCTAGATAGAAAACTATCACCTGAGGACCACATAAAGAATATTGTGCAAGGAGCCTATGCTATGCTTTCTAACTTCAGAATTGCATTTAAATACATGGATGGCGATATACTAAAGAAATTGTTCATGACTTTTGTTAGGCCAAAGCTAGAAATGCAGCTGTTGTGTGGTGCCCATATCTTAAGAAGCACATCAACAAACTGGAAAAGGTGCAAAGACATGCTACTAAGTGGCTCCCAGAACTGAAGGGCAAGAGCTACGAGGAGAGGTTAGAAGCATTAAATATGCCAAAACTAGAAGACAGAAGAAAAAGAGGTGATATGATCACTACATACAAAATAGTAACAGGAATTGATAAAATCGACAGGGAAGACTTCCTGAGACCTGGAATTTCAAGAACAAGAGGTCATAGATTTAAACTAGCTAAACACAGATGCCGAAGAAATATAAGAAAATTCACCTTCGCAAATAGAGTGGTAGACGGTTGGAACAAGTTAAGTGAGAAGGTGGTGGAGGCCAAGACCGTCAGTAGTTTCAAAGCGTTATATGACAAAGAGTGCTGGGAAGACGGGACACCACGAGCGTAGCTCTCATCCTGTAACTACACTTAGGTAATTACACTTAGGTAATTACACACACACACACACACACACACACACACACACTTCCATATAATTTCTTTTATTCATTGAAACATATTTTCTGTGAGGAGCACCCTTCGGCTCCCTGAAGCTATCGGACTGATATATGCTGTATTAGTCTGGGGCATCAGTCAATTGAAGTTCAGCCTACCAGGGACCACGAGCCAGAACCTGGCCTCAGAGAGGCACAGGGTCAATGGCCTATGGAAACCCCCATGTGTTTGGGAGCATTATATGATTGCCATCGACTGATGTTAGGCACCCAGAAAGGTAGACATAACAAAACAGACCCCCACTAGGTAAGAAAATTGCAACCGAAGACCAAAAAGAGAAGCTGAACTTCCCCAATCCAAAGAAACAAACAAAAGTC